AAGAAAGAGCCTTTCTTTCATCCATCAAGAAGATTTTTCTAAAGAGCGTTCATATTTTAAATAGCTTAAGAACCTTCTTGTGTTGTGTTTGTCCAGGAGATTCATGTAAGTACACCGTTTTACTTCATTTTTGTTGTTACCCCAATCAAATCCCATTATTTCATTTACTTATTCATGACCCAACTCTCCAAATAAACCCTGAATAGCCGTTCGCAAACATTTTGGTTTGTTTTGTTTACCCTATCTCTAATTCGTAATTTCTGTCCCCAATTTTCAACCCCATACAGTAATACCATAGGTGGTAGGCAAAATAATCGTTACAGTAAAGAAGGATATTCTACAGTAGCTAAACTGTTTAACTTGACAAGTATAATTAAAGTACGAAGAGCAAGAGGTTATAATGGAACTTATGCTTTGTTTGTGGACTTCAGTAAAGCGTTTGATACGATTGATCGATAAGCGCTGCATTACAAGCTTAACAGTATAACGTTGTCTTCTAAAATGCGGAAAATTATTGAATGTCTTTCTACAGAAACAAAATGTGCGGTATGGGTTAGGAATGGTACATCACGTTGGCTTAACTGTGAGATGGGGGTAAGACAAAGCTTCATTCTCAGTATACTGCTATTTGAACAATTTCTTTATGACCTACATACATGATGTTCTAGGAGTCGTTGAGTTAATAGGATCTATCATTAGAATATTGCTATATTCTGATGATATGGTGGTGCAAACAAATTACCGTTAATAAATTATGGGAAATTATAAGTCCAAAATTATAGTGTGTAAAAAAATATGTGAAAATATTAAAGAATAGTGGAAAATAGATAGATAAATCTTGGAAGTCATTAATAATTATTGCTATTTGGTAGTAAAATTAACCCTGTGGCTATATTTCAGTGCACATCTTAACAAAAAACGACAAGCGTCTGGAGCAGCTATAAACATAGTTTTGCAATAGATTCTAGCTAAGTTGAATCTTTTACTATCATCTAAGGTGCGCATATACGAAGCGCAATGAAACCATGTTGACATCTTAGAAATTTGTTGGAAACGCCGTTTTACAAATCCCTCAGATGAGGGACGGCTCGAAACACAACAGTGACAAAACACTGACATATTACATACAAGTATAATTCACTTTTTCACAAAAAATTTGCCGGTTCCTTCAAACTTACAACGCTGTGTTTGCTCTCTATAAAATTTCTTCCAAATCTTCACTTAAACTGTAACTATTAACTGCTCATCAAACTACATATTTTCCATAATGCAAGACGAAAAACGAAAAAACATTACAAATTTGACAAAAAATTTGGACTAACACCGAAACCTACTGCCTTTGACAGTGGCTTCAGCGAGAGTGATGTCATTCTCTTCAACAATCGTTCACTTAGCTTGGTATAGACAAAAAATAAACCAAAATATTTCTGTTAATTTCACGCGCAAAATATTTTAAAGTGCTCTCGATCAAATAATACCGAAGAAATACGCGTCTGTAATATATAAACAAACTTTAAAATGTGTTTACTATTAATTGCAGCGATGCAAAAAGGTTAAAAACACTTTTTTGGTGTTTTAACTCATACAATGTGATTTGAAATGCTACACTACAACCTGCCTGGTGATTAAGTAAAACCTCCCCACTCTGCACACTTTTTTATTCTGCATATCTCAAACTATTTTTAATTTTAAAAATTGCAACCAAAGAAAAAAATCTTAAGAATTACGCATCCTATTGAAATCCTCTGACACTCTTATGTTCTATTTGAATAATACTTATAGGTATCTTTTTTTGTGAATTTTGAAGATTTCTTGTGATTGTGCTTTTGAGGATTGTGCCACGCGGCCCAAAGAATTTATATTGCTCTACGGGGCCATGTGGTACATATGTAGTGCGCACCATGAGAGATTACGAAAAAGGATAGAAAAGCATTTTACAGTTGTGGGATGAACTAATGTCGGATAAGGATAGTTATTCTGTAATATTATTTATTCGTTTGATGCTTACTCTCCTAGTTCGCAAGCTTCGAGTTATTCGAAAGATGACAATAGCGATTTTAGTGCAGTTTTTGTCCCAAAAAACGTAAATTATGGCAAGAAGTAAATGTTACAATGGATTCCGAAAAAAATCAAAGCTCTACAAGCAAATCAAATAGTTTATCTGCCTCTAATATTGTTAGAGATTTGCCGATTAGCTCATAAACAGGGTCAGATAATATCCATTCAAATTTAAAAAATGTAGACAATGTTATGGAATATATAATTTTCCAGTACAGAGCTAAAAGTAACCCAGAAAATAGAAGTTCTCATTAAGATGACCTAATTGACTTGAATACCTTACAATGGAACCCTGTTGACAAATTATCTTTTAAGAATTTTGACTTTGATGGAAAAGATACAGGAGTTAGAGCTCAAATCTATGAAGATAATATAATTAGTATCCCTTTAAGTTATTTGTTTGTGACGAAGTGATTATTCTCATGGTAAACGAAATTAATCTCTATAGCGAGCAGTGTTTGGCGAAATAATGACTGACACAAAAGTCGCTTATCAAAAAGTGGACTCCAACTGATCTTCTGGAAATGGAAAGATTTATTTTTATCCTATTATGGAAGGGTTGTGTAATTTGCCCACTATACGATAATATTAGAAAACATCAATATTATATCAAAATGAATTCAGCCGTCTTATGTCGAGGGGCCGTTTTGGGTTATTGGGAAGTAAGTAGCATTTTAGCAATAATAATAATAATGCTTTTGCAGACTACAAACTTCGCAAAATTACTGCCATCCTTACAGTTATTTTATAAATAAACATGGAATGTAGTATTTGCTCTAATAGATGATCTTCTGGATTCTGGTAGTGAACTGTATAATTATTATACAAGTGTCTTCTTGGCAACCAAATTATTAGTACCAAAGACGCATCTGGTGGGCACCCTCCGTAGATGCGAAAATATATTCCTAAAGTGGTGGTCCAGCAAAAATTAAAACCAAAAGAAATATATGCCAGAGAAAGTGATTCCGGAATTATGGTCATGAAAAAGCGTGACAAGAGGGATGTGCTTATGCTTAGCACCTTTCATAAAGATAATTCAAAACAAGTATTGCAAAGAGATGGTACGGTAGAAAAACCGGAAGCAATAATCAATTATAACGGAACTAAACCTTACATTGAACTGTCTGACCAAATAAAAGCATATTCTTACTGGCTACGCAGAGAAATGTTACGGAAAGCTTTCCATCGAATTATTATTAAGGTCTGCAGTTCTAAACACTTTTTTGAAAGTAAGTTACACAAGAAAAATTGTCCATAACCTATTTCAAAGAAAAACGGTGTTATTCATTGTTACGCAGTGCAACAGATGGTATAGATGAACATAACCCCGAAGGTAACACCGAAAATAATCATGCTTTGGAATGAACTAATCTTGAGATTGAGATGTGTTGTTTGCTACGAAAATTTTAAAAATTTTGATAGTCGAAAAAATACTGTCGATAGTCGATAGTCTGTATATTGTATTATTGTGTTGAATGCTTCTTTACTATACACTGAGCAAAAGCTCTATAAAACTTAAAGTAACCTTATTTTATAATTTTTGAATAAATAATTTGTATTTTTTCAAGTTTCAAAAATATACTATAATATATATATATATATATATATATATATATATATATATATATATATATATATATATATATATGTATATATATATATTTATATAGATATATATAAAAGGATCACTCAACAGAGTGGTGGGCTCTTATATCGGTCAATTTGTCACAAATTGACCGATATAAGAGCCCACCACTCTGTTGAGTGATCCTTTTATATATTGGAATTTGACGGTCGTACTCCTTTTTCCGATATATAGATATATATATATATATATATATATATATATATATATATATATATATATATATATATATATATATATATATATATATATATATATATATATATATATATATATATATATATATATAGGTGCAATATTTTTTCGGACCAAAATCACTACTGGGCTTTCCGGGCCACATATTTTCAACTTCGATATAAATACCACACAAATGCGGCACACCGTGTAAGCCACGATTCCCAAAATACCAGACTGCATTTAGGCACAACAAATATGCCACACGGTCCGAACAACAAAATTGGATATGGCACACGTATTATACTATGTGGGACTTTACGCGTTAATAATTTCTTTATGACTGGAAAAATATAATGAACTTGAATGTCAGGTAATACATAATTGTAATACATAATGTCAGATAATACATAAGTCAGGTAATACAAAATTAAAAAGAATACAGGAAGACTATTTTCTTCTGGCATTTCTTTATCGTTTCTTATATAATAGACATATACTAAGATTTTAATTAAAAATACATTATATTTTCCCGTTACTGGTTTCTTTTTAATTACGTTGCATTTTATCTATAATGGTATATCTTAGAGATTTAATATTTGATATTTGATTTGAAGTATGTAAGGAATCAAAACGTCAGTAAATCAAACATTACTAAATAAAAAAAAATGAGATTTCCAAATAATTTTAAGATAAGATAATTATAAATTAAGCAAATAAACAGATTGAAATTTATTTATTCTGGTTATTGATTAGGATACTGGGTTACCCCTTTTTAACTAATTTTAATACAGTGTAGAATAAAGATAATTTAAATTTAAGAGTAAACGAGTAATTTAATATTATTACACTACAAGCTCATGTGAAATTTTTAAGGGGTAATTTGACCCAGCGTCAATCAGATAAAAATCAATACTACAATATGTAATAACAACTTTAGAAACTATGCCGTCGGTATATGTTAGTACGCAGGTAAGATAAACTTACAACTCAATGCGCAAACTTATAATATAATGGGTACACACATAATGACCTGAGACTTTATATCGTAAAAAAATATAGGTACTAGAATTAGAATAGAAATATTCATAATAAAAATAATATATTTATAATTTAATTTTAGGCCAAAGCAAAAATTTCTAAGAAAGAAGAGGCGCGTCTTAGGGAGGAACTTCAAACAGCTGAGAATCCAACTCCAGTTCCAGCGCCTCCAGATGGTGGTTATGGATGGGTTATTGTATTCGCCTCATTTATTAGTAATATGGTCGTAGATGGTGTTGGATTATCTTTTGGACTTATTTTACCATATTTAGTTGAAGAATACAGTACAACAAAAGGAGTTGCAGCATGGGTTGGGTCAGTTTTGGCAGGAGCTCAGATGGGTGCTGGACCAATCGTTAGTGCTGTAGCGAATAAGTTCAGTTGTAGAACAGCCAGTATATTTGGTAAGTTATTTTACTTACTATTAAAAAGTTGAGGATATTGACAGATTTAAATATTATACTAAATAACATATTATACATACATACATTATATAACATACATAAAGCCTTATATAACAATATAATGAAATGTATTTTGAGAACGATTTCATAAGTGGAAATTGAAATGTCAATAAACGTACGTTAACCTTTAGTTGTGGCTTATTCCCATTTAAATAGTAAATATCTGAAATCATAAATAAAAAATTGTCATGAAAATCTAAAAAAATACAATAAGGGCGAAAAAAACTAGCTTTAAAAAAAAACAAAAATTATAAAAAATTCATATTAATTCAACAAGTAAATGATTGAAAAAATTGGAAAACTAATATTAACGAAATACAACTACATTAGAACCTCAGAAAAATCATCAATTGGTTATAAATACAGCCCAGGTTTCACCCTGACCAGTTCTATTAATCCTCTCCTTTAATATATTTCTCGCTTTTTTTCTCCAGCTTCTTCCTCAGATTCTCTTAACTTTTTCTTCTTCTTTTTGCCCTACGTGATTATCGTGCGCTCGCCATCAAATTGGCCATACTATGGCTTTAAAACTTTCCTCCTCCTTTATTGCATTCTGTATATATCATTTCTAATTTCCTGCACTGTGACTTTCGATAAAGCTTCTTGAAAAAGTCTTTTCATATCAACTTTCTTTTAATAAATTAAGTATCTCATGATTTTTCAACGCCAAACTTTATGGTTTTTTAATTAAACGAGAATGGTAACTCATTTTCGATGACTATGACAGAATTTTATGGTATCTTACTAACTACCTGGAAAAAAATATTCTTCAAATACATCTGCAGTTATTACCTTATGATAATCTTTAGTAGTTCTTGAAGTAAATTCTAATATAAACCAATATTTACAAAGTCAGTTATAGATTCAATATGGGTAATTATTAGTCTACGGTATTTTTCAATAGGTGAGTTCAAGCCAGAGGGATAACCTTAAAAGATTGCTAATATTTTTATCAACCCAACATTTTGAAACAGTGTGACCTTTGTTTAACGAGTTTTATTTAAATAATAAATTGTTACTTCTTGTGTTCGAAACCTTTTAATTTTTCTTGATATTCCCTCCTCCAACAAATAATATAATCCTTGTCGAGAAGTAAACCTCTTTTTTTACATTTTTCCTACGAAAAACCTATTTCCTTAAGACCCTTCCACATATTTGTTTGTCCAAAAACTGGTAGTTCCTTGTCTTATGTAATACTATTTCAAATTTTGTCGATGGTAAGTATTTCTTTATATAAATAAAAAGAATAAACTTTACGATGTATGGAGCTTTTAACAAGGTCATCAGTTTTCAAGTCTCTTTCCGATTAGTTTTTCTATCTGTATACTTCCTTTAGATTTTCTTTCTTTTAAACGGCATGTTTTCATTGTGAGTTAAGGGTAATTTTGAGCTGCAACTGTTCAATTTCGATCTTGTGGTCGCTAACATAACCGTCTTAGGATCTATATTTGCACGTCTAATAATAATGAATTTGTACAAATAACAAAGTAAGAAAATAGTTTCAAGACTGTACGATTAAAAACAATATAGCAAACTCACATTATGATCAAGTTACAGCTAACTGTGAGAAGTAGTCAGCAAACTACTACATCAGCAAATCAATAAGAAGCTCGGTAATAATTCAGTAGTATCTACAGAGTGTAAGTTACTGTTTAGTTATTATGTAGTGTTTTATGCTACTTATATTGACCTATGTCTACTATTGTTTCACTGCCACCATTGGGACTACGAATGTAGAGAAGATAGGTTCCTTTAAAAAGTTTTGAGACGTAAGGGAAGTGGGAGCCCATTGATACAGTTTTTTCTACTACTAATATGTACGGAATTTAATGAGTATAAAATGTAATTTTTATTAGAGTGCAGTAATAACTAACCTATTTTTAATAAATCATCCCTAAAATAAAGAAAAGTTAACAAAGAAAAAAGATATTTGTGTAATTCTTAAACTTACTTAATGCATCAAAGTGCACTACATACGGGGTACTATGATTCAACTTATGAAGCAGTTTTTTTACAGCTAGGGGTACATTAATACACTGTTATAAATGAATAAAAAAATAATATTTCAATGCAATTTATTAGCAAATTAAAGATAAACAAATGTTAATAAAGTAGTAACATACTATTTTACTGAATGTTTTACGAAGCGAGAGTTATGGGAAATCTGCAGAGTGAAGTTGTTCGATTCGTCCCTGCAGTAACATTAGGCATCGGTTATTTTAGACAAACGTCTGAAAAATTGACTGCAGCTTCATCTTTCACATCAGGAAAAATAAAAGTCCACGATCCCGGTTTCTTCCTTAGAAAAGATATATGATACTCCAAGCTATTATGTTTGGTCAAGACTTTGACAACATAGTGCACAACTGATTTTTTTTTAATTTTATTACTAAAAGTCACCTTTATTTATATTTTCTGGGAATGATTTTAGCAAACCAGCAGAGCTATCATCATTTGAGAACTCTGAAAAATCGGATAATAAATCCATCGCCTCGAATTATTCAGAACAACTTGTAGAAATATCACTTTCAATTGTTTTTATTTTAGCAATTTTCTTTGGGATATTACTAGAATCAGCAAGAGCTACAATATTCCTCGCAGGTCTTAAATTTTGTCTTTGTTCTTAAATCTGCATCTGTCTTTCTGTGGTATTGTGTAGATCTAAAAGTCGTTTCTTCTCAGGAGTGTCAGTGTAAATACGTGATTTACCACGTTCCTTTCCTTTTCCTTGTTTTGCGATTTTGTTTATTTTTGGGTAAAGTCTTACACTCTCAGGACTTATAATTAAATAAGTAGGTGTTGACGGTCGAAGTTCTAGCCCTTAAACAGCGCCAAATGACGATTCGTTTGTGATTGCGTTGAAAGTAAACAGCTCACCCCTCTCAGCAGAAACGATTTGTTCGACTTGTTTTTGTGTTCTCTCGGCTAAAATTTTGGGCGTCGTCATTACGGTGGTAATACTAGTTTCGTCCATATTAATTATGCGATCTGGTGTGAATGAGTATTTAGTAATGATACACTCATAATTTTTAAAGAATTCTGCAACTGAGGTTTTGTTGAATCCTACTGACCGTGCGAGACTGGTGTTTTCATTTTTTCTTAACGTTATGTTCACATTTCTTTTACGAAAACCTGAAATCCAGTCCTGCCCTGCTACTTTTGTTTCATCCCATTTAGAAGGATATATATACATTTCAGATGTTTGGCATACTCGTAAGCTAAACTTCTAAATTGGTAGAGAGTGAGACCATAATGCATCTTACTGCAAGTAACTACATATCCATTTAATTTCTGTTCGTGATCTACAGTAAAAACTTGCTTTGAACAATATTTCGAAAAAACTGCTGTTCTAAAATTTGTCTACTGTTTTCAAACCGGTGCTGTAATGTAGCAGGTATTAAATTATACGTATTGGCAGCTTTTCTAATAGACATCTTTTCTTCAACTACCGCTCTAATTGCAGAAGCTATAGCGTTTTCATCCAGATTTGCTCTATTGGTTTTTGGCCTCAACTGTGCATCTTGTTACACATATATATATATATATATATATATATATATATATATATATATATATATATATATATATACAGGGTGAGTCATGAGGAACTTTACATACTTCTACCATATGTAGAGTCCCTCAGGGAGCATATCATGTAGCCACTAAAAAATGTTAACTCCTCTTCTTTATTAATTAACAGGGTGATTTGTGTAATTGATCATTTATTTCATTTTACTGCAGTGTTTATACGGCTTATTTGATTTTTTTAATTTTTGCATGATACAGTACACTACTATCAAGCATTCGACTGGTATTAGCTAAACTAAAAAATTCCAAGACTGGCTTTGGAAAAATTAATTTAGGGATTCGTATTAAATATTACACCCTGTATATATTTTTTTTAAATGCAATAAGTGACATTCAAACTACATAAATAGCCAATGAAAACGACATATGCGACAATGTTGTCGCACTTTTATTAAATTTTTAGTGAACGATCAAATCTTACCAAAAATAGAATAACCATAATGAAGTATCAAATTATAAGGTAATTAATTGAAACAAACGTAATAAATTTCAACCATTTTAATTGAAATGATAAACTGAGTCACTGCACAACAAAAAACAGTAACTACTAACAATAACGAAGAACAATTTAAAAAAAAACTAAAAATATGTACATAGTTATGATAAACCCATAAGTTAGAACTGTGAAAGATACAATAATGGTAACAAAATAAAAATAATTCAAAACATATTTTCGAAATGGAACCCTGTAGCCTGTACACATTTTTGTTGCCGAATTCTTCATTAACGTATTGAATTACGGATACTCTGGGGATCGTTTCTAATAGTATTACAACAATGTATAATTCTATCAATTAATTGTTGTCGGTTATTAATATTCACTGCGTAAACTAGTTGCTTCAATCGTCCCCAAATATGGTAATCAACGGGATTGAAATCAGGGGATCTTGAAGGCCACGAAATAGGACCTGCACGTCATATCCATCTGTTGCCATAAACATTATTGAGATGTTGTCTCACTGCCAGTAAAAAGTGTGGGGGTGCCCCATCATGCTGAAAATATATCCCTCGGATATCAACGTTCGCGTTGGCAAGCAAATTCGGCAAAATATTTTGTAGAAAGTTCAAATAGACCTGCTCTGTTAAAGGACCATCAAAAAAGTGAGGACCTACTAGTTGGTTATTTATGACATCAATCCACATGTTAACCGAAAACCTTAACTGAGAACGATGTTCTCGAATAGCATGGGAATTTTCTTCTGCCCACACATGTGAATTTCGTGAATTATTTATCCTGTCTCTGGTAAATTGGGCTTCATCTGTAAATAGTGTCCTGTATAGCGTTGGTCGATTATTGTTAATCCATCTACAAAATTCCAACCTATCGATCTGATCTCCAGCATGTAGTCGCTGAACCATTTGAATGTGATATGGGTATAGATTATTTTTTTGTAAGACTCTACTTACTTTTGATTGAGTAACATTGAGTTCTCAACTTACTTGTCTAGTGCTTATTGTAGGGTTCATAGTAACGGCGTCCGTAATGTCATCTTCCTGCGCTTCATCTACATGTCGCTCTGTTCCTCCACTAGGAAAAGTGCCATTTTCTCGCAAATAATTAAAAACTGACCCAAATGTTGGATGACCGGGAATTCGGCGATTAGAAAATCCCCTGCGATATTCTCTACTAGCAGCCCTACCATTCCCATTACAGAATCCATAAACAAATATTATGTCTGCATATAAAATGGTCAAAAAGTGATGTGGCACTTTGAACGAAAGTAACAAAAGCTCTACCAAAACTAACACAATGTACTTAACGTAGATATCACAGAAGAAATATGTATTCTTGTACACATAAATAACAATTGATAATGACAATAATGACAATGGGTATAAAATATCAAGAAACGTCAAATAGTCAACGCCAACCTTCATTTTAAACTTTTTTAGATTTATTTTTATTTAGTACAGTTGATGCAATGTATTATTATTTGACATAAAATTTTAATCATTTACAATTAACAAAAACTAACACATACAAGAGGTTTGATTAGATCAAATTAGAACAAGTAACATTCTTGATACTTGTTCCTCATCTACGGTATCATTTTTTTATTATCAGAAACATCTTTTGAAATTACTTCTTCCTCTTTGCTTTCCTGCATTTTTCTTTGTTGTCTTCTGACAACTTCTTCCTTTTCTCTATTAATTTTTCATTTATTTTTCATTATATGTGTACTGTATCAATATTCCCACATGCATACTTTCTTATATAATATAACAAGCGAGTCTTCTACAGCTGGCGCCGCTTCTCGCATCCTAATTTTCAGCGTTTTCTGTCGAAGCAATCTTCAGTTGTTAGATCTCTGGCGGTCATTGCATCTTCGACATCGTCTCTCCAGGATCGTCTTGGTCTACCTCGTTTTCTTCTAGTTGGCGAAGTCCATTCTTCTATTTTTTTTGGCCATCTATTTTCCGGCATTCTCTGAAGGTGTCCATACCAGTTAAGTCTTTTGGCTTCGATTGTGTCTATTATGTCTAGATCGATTTCCATTTCTCTCCGAATATCTTCGTTTCTCACCCTATCAAGTCTAGTGAGCTGGCAACATCGTCTCCAGTAGTTCATTTCCATGGCCTTAATTTTTGATTTGTTTCTTTGGTTTATTTCCCAGAGTTCGGCGCCGTACAGTCCAATACTTTCTATTATTGTTTTATAAATTCTTCTTTTATTTTCTTTTGTTATTTTTTTATTCCATAATAGTCCGTGTAGCTATCTGGTGGCTGATCTTGCTTGGCCAATCCTGGAATGTATTTCTTCGCTACTTCCTGCTTTTGATGTTATTTGGACTCCCAAGTACTTAAAATTGTCTGTTGGTTTTATAGTTCCTATTTCGATTTGTAGGCTTTCTGGTTTTTCTCCTACAACTAAGTACTCAGTTTTTTGTATATTAATTGTGAGGCCCCATTTGGTGTACTCATCTTCCAGTTTTCTAAGCATGTAGCTTATATCACTCTCGTCTTCAGCTAGAATGGCTTGGTCGTCAGCGAAATGTATCGTGTACAATCTATCATCACCGATTGGGATGCCCATATTGCAGCTTTCTTCTCCACAGTGAGAGTGCTTCATTTATATATATTTTGAAGAGTGTAGGTGCTATGCAGCAGCCTTGCTTTAGGCCCTTACTAATAGGAATTTCTCTAAATAATCTATTTCCAGTTTTAATGTTTGCCGTCATATTTTTGTAGAGCTGTTGTACTGCTTGTATATTTTTTTTGCTTATTCCTTGTTTTCCCATTGCTACCCAAAGAATTGAAAGTGGTACACTATCGTATGCCTTTGTCTTATGCCATACTTTTTTCAAATTATAAAAAATATCCAAAGAATAATTATATAATGATAAAAATAGCCTGTTATTACGTAATATACAAACATACTTAGCAGTTAGTAATAATTAGGACGCAATCAATTGACTATAACTTTTAAAATGACGTCTTTAAAAACAGGATTCAAATTTACTTTAGGTGGTACAAGTGCAAACTTTCTTGGTCGTTATAGTATCAATAGCGCCACATACGGTAACAAGTAAGCAATTATTTGTAATATGGTGTTTGAGTTAGGATCACTGTATTAATATTCCCAGTGTATCAACGGACCTCCTCTACCTTCACTTCTGTCTACTGTATAGGGTTTAAATTAATAATTGGTAAACATTATGAATTATTTTAGATACAACCGAATTGTTTATAGTAAATAAAACAATTACATATTTGATTTCATTATATTACGAGATGATAATTTTGTATCTACTTTAAATTTCAGGCTGCATTTTAGCATCATCGTGTATGGCCCTTTCCACTTTTTGTCCATCCATACCAGTAATGATGGTAGTTTATGGTGTCATGGGAGGTACTGGATACAGCTTTATATATTTACCAGCAGTAGTGATGGTTGGATATTATTTCGAGTCCAAACGATCTTTAGCAACTGGGATAGCCGTTTGTGGAACAGGTGTCGGAGCATTTGCTTTTGCCCCCTTGGTCAATTTCTTGGTTAAATCATATGGATGGAAAACTACTAACTTATGCTTGGCAGGAATTACATTGTCATGTGCACTTTTTGGAGCATTAATGAAACCTTTAACGTACGAAGAAGTGAAAGAAGAAGTCGTTCAACAGGTCCCAGCAAAACCCGGTGTTATGAGAACCCGAACGAGTGAGGTATTTATTACTTTTAATTGTTTAAGTTTGGTGATTGAAATTTATAATTTTATTTATCTAAAAATATAGTGCCACCATTTGACTTAATTTATAATTATTTATGTGTAAAGCGTAGTTATTCGATTCTCCATATCGTAATAATATATTATGATATAATTAACCTTCATCTTCTCTTGTTGTGAGCTCTTTGGATCTAGTTGATTTTCAGCAATTTCAGATCATCTATTTCATCATCTATTTATTGTGTTATTTGTTTGCCGATGTTTTAGTAAGTTTAAATATTTCAGATTCGTTTACCCCAGCGGACAGCATACAATTATACAAAGTTTTAAGTTTTACTTCATTTGAGATATAACTATAAAAATTGTTTACATATTTCTTACCAATAGATGTTTTTGTTATATACTTGGATCTATCAAAGTTTATTTCCAAACCTACTCTCTGCAGCAAAGCATAAATGATTTAATCTCTGCCTATTGATCTTTATTGTTACGTTATCCCTGTCCAGTGCCTTAACAATATATTCCAAAATCACTATAAACACTTTTATACTTTTTATTGCAGAGTACGATTCTACTTAAAAAAGGTAAACACGTTTTATCTGAATTTTTTTTATTCAAAATAGGTAGCGTTAATCTTAAATTAACAGATACTTATACAAGTCTGTCAACTATGTAGTCTCTATGGTACTAAATACATGTTTTTAAGGATACAGTGTAGTTTTGTAGAATCAGAATTTGAAATAAAAATTCTTTAATTACTTGATATTTTTGAGTCAAATGATATATACTTTTGATTTGATATATCTTGTTATATTTCCCAATTTGAAATACACGTTAAATTCGTGTACTAACTTCATTTTGTGAGGATGTCATTTACGTTATGTATTTACATTATTACTGAACTTTGGTTAATCATCATTTAGAGGTTGAAGTTCTAGAGCTTACCTGTGGATTGTCTGTGGATTGTCCTATCATGTATATATATTACCATGTTTAGTTGGACATTTTTTGTAACTTTTATTTGCCCCAAAAAAATTTGTAATATTTCCTTTTACCATTAAATTTTTATACTTCTATTTTTAAACTAACAATTTGACGGGCAGCTCTTGGGTGCTGTGCGAATTCAAGCAAAAATAGACTTATTGTCAAAGAGTGAGGAGATAATAATTTTCGTACTTTATTTAAACTGTTTTTCATTTAAATATTGAGTACTTTAGTTTCTGCTGTTAAAAATTAAACATAATTTCTTTAAAATGGTCAACTAATTTTTTGAAGCTGTTTTTAGTATTGCCATTGTATATTTAATTTTGACTGAAAAAATATAGGTTTTTATTTAAAAAAAAAAAAAACAAATGGATGGTTTCATAAACAAGTCACGATACCGTTATCACAATTGCGGTTATGCAAAATACAAACAAAAATAATTTTAAAAATCGACCTCTCTTGGAGTTTTTTGCTTAAATGGTAGCTAAAGCCGGATTCTCCCGACTGGTATATTTGGGCAATATTTGTCAATTTATGGCCTATACTTGTCATGTCATGTAGATGGTTTACTTGAGCAATTATTTGTCACTGGCGCGTGCTGGCCGTTTTCCCATCGCCTGTCGGTAAAATCTCTACAAGTCAAAGGGATCGCCAGTGTCGCATGCACTTGACAAGTCTGTACTGGTCTATATTTGTGTTTGTATTCACATGACGTGTTCAAACATTCTTGTTTTAGTTCGCTGCTACTATGGTTGGCTACAGTCGTTCACACTGGTATGTTTAATACGTTAATAGTTTACTGACATATTTGTTGTTGGCGCAATTGTTAATCGTACACGCCGTGTAAACGATTTACTTGTAATGGGCAAAATTATATTGGCCGACTCGCCAAGTAAACCAGTATTGGTGTATTTGTCAAATACGCCACTCGTGAGAATCTGGCTTAATAATAATTAAATAAGTAAGTTAATAAGGAATATGTTTTATTGTCACTAAAAATTGTACAAATTGTATGTACCAAACGACAAGAAAGAAGAAAAAAAAATCAGAACAAGACTCTTTTGTACTTTAAAATAAAAAAAATCTTAACATTTTTCCAAACTTAAACATAAAAAATACTACCTAATTAAGAACCTACAAACTTCGTAAACTGTAGGTACCTAACAAAAAATAAAAATTAGGAAAGCAGATTAATGAATTAAGGGCTCAAATATTACACCTCCTTGTGCTAAACAGTAACTAAATTTGTAATACAGATTTCTCCTTATATTTTGGAGTAGGGCTGGTGTAATGCTTGCAGAGAAAGGAAGTATTTTTGCCCTTAATTCGACTGTGGCCCTTTCAAACTGTTGCCTATAAATGTTTTCTTTGAGAAAACCCCAAAAGAAGAAATCGTTAAGCGCTAAGTCACAGATTTACCGGGCTATTCAATTGGACCACGTGGACTTATCAGTCAATCGGGAAACGTTTGATTGAGGAAGTCAATAGTTGCTCTAGAGTTGTGAGCCAAACACCCATCCTGTTGGAAATAAACCTACTGAAAATTAACAAAAAGGCGTCGAACTGCCGGAATGATCTCATTCTGTAAAACTGTAAATATTTGGGCCTGTTTAGGTTCTCATCGATAAAAAATGGACCGACAATGTGGTCGCTTAACATCCCAGTTCAAACATTGAACTTTTGCGGATGCTGCGTTCGCACTGAAACACTAAGCTACTTATTTTTTCGAGAATAATACCGTGTAACGAATGTATTGTGATTTTTATGTAATGAAAATGAAGATTCGTCAGAACATAAAATTTTTTTTTTGAGTGTACATTTTTATTCTGTTTATCTAATATAAATTCACAAAACTCCTTCCGCCTAAAGTTATCTTTCGGAAACAGTTCTTTTGTTGGTTGTATCTTAAAACAGTGAGTGATACCAATTCCTTTTGAGAACTCGCTGGACAGTTCAAGCATTCAGGTTAACTTCTCTAGCTATTTGTACACTATTACAGGGTTCACTAGCTTCTATAAAAGCACAAATATCAATATTCCTGTTTTAACGCTCTTTATCAACAGGTGTAACACGTGGTTCATTACCTTCATGACACTGTTTACAACTGTTTACACATCCCGAAGTTTAATAATGTTTAATGGTATTTTTAACTGTTGTTATACTTGGTGGAGGTCTATTTTCGAAGGCAACAATAAATAAATCAATTACTTCGCGTGTCGAATGACCCTGAAAGTACCATGTTACAAGTTGCACTTTTTCTTGGACGGTATACAACGTAATAGGCATTTTAATAATTATTTGTTTATTCTTTCAGAACTTCGTTTGAAATTTTTAATCTCAATGTTACAATTACGACAATTCGTACCTACTGTGAAATGAATATAGAGGTGGAAACTTGTAAAATGTCACAGCGATTGCTCTTGTCTTGTATTGTCAATAAAACAATGTCGTGATCTGTATATATATATATATATATATATATATATATATATATATATATTTATATATATATATATATATAAATATATATATTTATATATATATATATATATATATATATATATATATATGTGTGTGTGGGTGTGTGTGTGTGTGTGTGTGCGTGTGTGTATGTAATAAAAGTGCAAAAAAATCGTATCACGGATTTAATTTAAGGTTACATTATATTCAGAAAACTAATTCATTTAAAAAAAAAAAAATAAGAAAAATAATAATAAATATTAAAAACAGTTTAATTAATTTAGGATTTTGTCATTATATAGGGGAACATCTCAACTCCAGGTGTATATAACTCTACACTTTCAATGACCAAAAGAAAAGGAAGTCTTCAACCTATGGCAAGAAAGGATGTTTTATATACAGGATCCATTCAGAATCTCAAAGAATTTCAATCAAGAACATCACTTGCTGAGTACAGAAATAGCGTCCACAGTATACAAAAACCTAAACTTTCCAAACGTCAAGGTGAGTAGATTAAAGTAAATATCGTCCCTTGCAAGACAAACTAGCGTTACCGACATTTTGATAACTTCACAGGAAGAGCAAAATACTTCATGAGATAGGTATGCTAGTTGAGTGATGTCTGGTCAATTTTGTTGCGCTACAATTTAGTTCATATTTGATATATTTGAAAAAAAAACCCAAACATAAGTAGAATTGGTAATAATTTGCAAGGAAGATAGTAGATACGATATTTTACTGTGTTACTGACGTTTATGATGTTTTATTTTAGCTCTTACGACATTTAGTACCGCTGATATTGATGTGCTTAAAACAATACATTATATCGTAAAGGCCAGAGTAAAAAATCCTAAACCACCACGTGATTTAACAAACAAACAGTTTTTAAGTGTAAACAAAGAATACCATAAACTTGGTTTACTTTGCTCCGTTTTTAAAATTCTTTGAAGAATTTTCAACAAATGTTTTTAAAATGGCGAGATATCTTTATTTTTTTAAAACCTAAATATAATAATAGTTTAAGCAATTATGGTTGAAATAGTTTAAGTTAAAAATAACGAATTTTTTTCACTTAAAATTTAGATCAAAGCCTCCCATTGCCAAAGGTTATTTTGCCCCATTTAAGTGCACTAGACGGGTGCAAAGTTAAGCACACGTTTTGTTTAATTTCTCTCATCCCATAAAATAAAATGAAAAGTAACAATTTTTCAGAATTTTTTGCAGAAAACTGAAACATGTTTTAAATTATTTTAATAAATTAAAAAAGAAAATATGATTAGCTACCTCGTTAAATGATGTACCTTACAAAAACTTAAAAACTGAGAAGACAAATATTAGATGAAAAACACTGTATCGAAAGGTTTTAAAAACATCTATTAGTATATTGAAAGCAGGTAGCGTGGTACCAAAAATGTACTTCTTCTTAAGGTGCCGTGCATTTCTGCGTAGGCGTCCACCGTACATCGTCTTGTCAGGTGAGATGTTAAATATTCTGGATTAAATAATTCTGTTTTTAGCAGCCTTGCGAAGCATTTCATAGCTGTGGATTCCTGTCCATTGTCGAATATTGCGCAGCCATGACATTTTTTTACGTCCGAGACCTCTCCTACCCTCTATCTTCCCTTCGAGTATCAGTTGCAGAAAAGTGTATCGTTCTTCTCGTATTATGTGTCCCAAGTATGCAGTCTTCTTACTTTTTACATAATTAAAAAGTTCCCTATCCTGTAAGCCCGCTCTTCTGAGTACTTCCTCATTTCTGACCCTGTCCGTCCATGATATTCTGAGCATTCGACGCAGGCACCACATTTCAAACACTTCAAGTTTGTTAATGGAACTGGCCTTTAACGTCCATGCTTCCATTCCGTACAGGAGAACAGGCCACACGTAACACTTAAGCATCTTGTATCGGAGGTTGAAGTCCAATTTGCGATCAGTCAGAAACTTTTTCTTCTTCTTCAAGTTCCACTCCTATCGGAGATTGGAAATCATTCTGACAATTATAATTTTATTGGTTACTCGCCTGAATAGTTCAATTGAACTGCATCCAAACCACTCACGGAGATTGCGTAGCCACGAGATTTTACGTCTTCCTACGCTTCTTCTACCTTTGATTTCACCCTGCATTATATTCCTTAGTAGTTCGTACTTTTCACCTCTCATGATGTGCCCCAAGTATTCCAATTTCCTGATCTTTATGGAATTTAAAACTTCGCATTGTTTTCCTAGTTGTTCGAGAACTTGTTCGTTTGTTTTGCGATCCATCCATGATATTTTCAAAATGCGTCGACAACACCACATTTCGAATGCTTCTAGGTTTTTAATGTTGGATTTTTTAAGTGTCCAAGCTTCAACTCCATACAAAAGGGTAGAGAAAATATAACATCGAAGCATTCTTATCTTGAGCGATATATTGATATGGCGATTACAAAAAAGTTTTCTCATTCTATTAAAAGTTGACCGCGCAATTTCAATGCGGCATCTTATTTCTTTTGTCTGATCAGTATCTTCTGTGATCCATGCTCCAAGGTATTTGTACGAAGATATTTGTTCAATTTCTGTATTATCTAGTACTAGCTTAACTTTGATGTTTTGTGCTTTTGTAAATACCATGAACTTGGTTTTCTTCAAATTGATTTTTAGTCCATAATCGTTGCAATATATATTTAGTTGTTCAGCAAGGTGTTGCAGTTCTTCTAGTGTTCCTGCCAAAAGGACGGTGTCGTCAGCATATCTTATGTTATTAAGTGGCTCACCGTTTATTATAAGGCCCTCACTGATCTCGGCAAGCGCTAATTCTGAGATGGCTTCACTGTATAAATTGAATAACAAGGGTGATAAAATACACCCTTGGCGGACCCCACGGCGAATCTGGATATCCTTGGTCAGTTCGTTTTCAACTTTCACTTTTGCTGTTTGATTCCAATAGAGGTTACAGATGATTCTAATGTCTCTACTGTCTATGTTTTTATTTAATAAAATTTCTTTAAGTCGATTATGCTGCACTCTGTCAAATGCCTTCTCAAAATCAATGAAACAGGCATATACTTCCTGATTAATATCTAAGCATCTCTGCGAAAGAACACTTACTGCAAACAGTGCATCTCGTGTTCCCAGACCTTTCCTAAATCCCATTTGTGTATTACTTATGCCTTCATCTAATTTCTTATGTATTCTATTGTGAATTACTTTTAAAAACCATTTCAAGACATGACTCATTAAGGCTATGGCGCGATGTTCATTGCACTCCTTTGCATTGGCTTTTTTGGGAAGCAGTATGAATGTTGATTGGAGCCATTCTTTAGGTATTATACCTGTTCTATATATGGTATTGAATAGATCCAAAAGAAGATCAATAGATTCAGTATTCACAATTTTAAGTAATTCGATAGGAACTTCATCAGGCCCGGGAGATTTACCATCTTTAGCTTGTTTCATTGCATATTCAATTTCTTCTCGTATAATGTCAGGCCCAGTATCATCCTTAAATTCTTTTGGTGCTTCTGTTCTTTCTTTGTCTTCAAATAGTTATGCTATATATTGTGTCCATCTCTGCATTTTTTGGTTTATATCTGTTATAAGTGCACCCCTTTCATCTCTTAGTTGCCTAGTTTGAAGTGTTTTTCTCATTCCTGTTAATTCTCTAATTCTTTTATGCATGTTAAAAAAGTCATATTTTTTCTCAATTTCTTCTAGTTCTTGGCACTGCTCATGTAACATTCTCTCCTTAGCTTCTTTTATTCTCTTTTTTATTAATCGATCAGTTTCATTATATTTAATTGGATTTTTTGTTTTGAATGATTTTCTTTCATTCATTAATAGTAGTATTTCTTCAGTCATCCAATCTTTATGTTTTCTATTCTTTGGTGTTAAGTTTTCATTTGCTGTTTTAATTATTGCTGCTTTTATATTTTCCCATTTCTGATCAATGTTATAGCTACTTTTATTCAGTTCTTGGGCAATACGTATATTTTCAGTAAGAGTTTTTACGGTTTGTTCCTTTGTTTGTGGTTCCCTTAATCTCTTAATATCAATTCTACTTTGTGTGGGTTTTTTAACCAGTTTTAATTTGGTTCGTAATGTGACTACTATGGGGTTATGGTCTGAACCGATGTCTGCTCCAGGGTAAGTTTTGGCAGACAGTATAGAATTACGAAATCTTTGTCTAATAAGGACAAAGTCAATTTGATTTCGGATTATTCTATTCGTTGTATCACCGGGAGATTTCCATGTATACAACCTTCTTTTTGGTAGCTTAAAAAGTGTATTAGCTATTACAAATTCTTCCGTCTGGCAAAATTGTATCAAACGGTCACCACGTTCATTTCTATTTCCTAGACCATATTCCCCCACATATCCATCCACTCTTCCCTGGCCAACTTTGGCACTGAAGTCGCCCATTACTATTGTAGTGTGATGTTTTTTCATTGATTTTAAGACTTGTTCCAAATCATGGTAAAACAGTTCGATATCGTCGTCATCTTTATCTGCCGTAGGAGCATAAACTTAAATAAAATTTACTATACCTTTTTTAGACTGTAGTTGTATTGATAAGATCCTATCAGAATAAGGAGTAAAACTTACCACAGAGTAATTGACCTTTTTTGCAACTAAGATAGCAACACCGTAACGATGATTGACCTCGTTGATACCTGAATAATACATGGTTCCATTATTTGTAATTTGTTTGCCTGAACCTGGCCACTGTACATCACTTATACCTAAAACATCAATTTGGAGGTTTTCCATTTCAAGCAGTACGTTCGCTAGTTTACCACTTGCATATAAACTTCTGACATTCCAGGTTGCTATTTTCAATGTCTTAAGTCCACAGGGATTTCTCTGGTTTACGACCTGGGAGGCCCTGTGATCTACAGTTATTCCTCCCCTGCCGGATCTTGGATTCCGTGCTCCATAATCAGTAAGTTTGTTTACTCTACTTGTCATTTGCCATTCATGACTTTACTAGGGGTACTCTAAGAGTCTTTAATGCAGTGGTTCCCCGTTCCCTTCTGCATCCTTGCGCCGTTGACATATTTTTCGATTCATCCGCCTTTAGGACCAGTTTCCCAACCCTTGGACAAAAGAGTGCCCTTCCACTTATTAACTCATCCGCCCGCAGCCGTTGGTCATAAGTGGGGGATTGCTTATACCGGCAATCATTCGGTGAATTACCTGTTGGTCCACGGGAGGTATTTTATTTCCCTCCTTCCCACCGGTAAACCGGGTCGGGCATTCCCCTATCCGCCACCTGGGGACGCGCTCTCTAGAGGTTACAGGTTCCTCCGAGAGAGTACTTCGGTCAGAAACTTACGAAGCCTCAAAAAAGCATTTCTGACTTGTTCAACTCTGCTCTTTATTTCATTCTCGGGGTCCCAACCCTCATTCAGCAAACATCCCAAGTATTTGAATTGCCTGACTTGTTCGATTTCTTCTCCAGAGACATATATCTTTGCGTTGGGGTAATCATTTCTACTTATAATCATTGATTTTGTCTTCTTGATATT